ATAGGTGAGCTTCTGCTTGTATTATTTACTTTTTTTTCTACAGATTTTAGAAATACCCTATATTTAGTTTGCTTACAGAATAGTTTTCATGGTAACTATCCAGAAAGGCAGAGGGGAAAAAAATCATTTCAACTTAATTCTTTTTTCAAGATTTTGAAGATTAATGATCATTAAATTTAATTGATCCTTATTTCATTTCATTTCATTTCTCCTATATATGATTTCTTTTTTGTCATCTCCATTAGATGAAAGGCAGCAAGGGAATGAATATTGTTAGTGCTATCTTCTCCTTCATTGGAATTATTCTGTTTCTGGTGGACTTGAGCCTCAATGGGCACCCCAACCAAGACTATTGGGCATTGGTAAGTATCCCATAATCTACCACATGCCTCCTCTCTTTCTACTCTCATAGAGTGAGTTGATTTTTTATCTCTTATTACTGTACAGCAGCTCTAGTGGAAAATTCCTTTTTCTAGTCCATCCCTACTCCTAGTCATGTGATCTCTAGGACTATAGAATAAAGTGGAAGACTTACCTCAACAAATGGGCAGAAAGGATGGATCTTATTGGTCTAGCTCACTGTTAATCACACGAACAATGGAAAAGACTCCTAAAGACACTGACATTATTTTCCAAAGATTTGAAATTCCATGTACATCAGATAATCAAGTTATTGTGTAGTTTTATTTTAGAGTAAGAATGGGATGAGAAGAAAATGTCTGTGACAAGGGCATTTAATTTTTATTAGAGCAACCCAAAGAAGGGAGCAATTGCAAACTAAAACATAAGCCTCTGAACATTCTCAAAAAAGAACTGTCCATTCATTATCATTCTATAGGCCAAGCATGGACTCTATTATCTCAGCCATAGAGCAAAGTGTAGAGAAGGGCTTATAAAGAAGTATGAATACCTCTTGATAAATAAGGTGGAGCGAAGCAAGAACAAGATAAGAATGTATCCACTGCAATATCATAAAAAGGAACAGAACTTAGTGAAAAACTAGCTTTAAAATTGGCATCCAAGCATCCAAGTAAAGAACCAAATGATTCTGCTGTGTCGCAAGGTGGTAGAAGAAAGTAAAGCTCCAGCCTGGTTCTTACTCCCCAGAAACACAAATGAGGAAAGAAGGTGCCAAAATACTGAGAAGTCTTACTAATGTCCTCTAATATAGAACTAAAAAGACTCAGATGGAGAGCAGCTAATTCTGAGGAAGGATAAAGCAAATCCTGCATGGTAAAAATCTTTATGTAGCACCCTGGGACCTCAAGGGAGTAGGAAAGTTCACCAGGGGTAACATCTTTCAGTGCACTTTGCTAAAGTGCAGGAATGAGCAAAAATTCACAGGAATGGAATATACTTCTGACCTTGGAGCAAGCCTTGGTACAAGGCATCTCTCAGAATAGAGAGAAAGCAAAGTCCATGATTACTAACAAGAATTGTGCTCAGTGCCAGCTAAGCTATTCCTCTCCCTGCAACAGCTGTGTGATTAGCATTCAACAAAATGGACAGAAAACAATACCTCGCCTTCAAATTGTAGCTGGAAACAAGGAACACATTGGACCCCAAATTTGACCCAGTTAAGTGGAAATATGAATCAAGGAAAATTCACCTACACTATATCTAAACAAACATAAGGCCTATATAGAGTCATTTATTTTAAGAATGAGAAAGTTGAAAATAAATGGCAGGGAAACTGTCCAAATACATTAGAGTGATTAAAAGAAGGAAGTGGGAGGGAAGGAGGGAGGGGAGAAGGAAGAAGGAGAAAAGAAAAGAAGGCAGGAAGGAAAGAAGACTTTCCTGTGGGTTAGTGGGTCAGCAAAAACACTCAGAAGCTTATTATTCATTTTAAGTGAAAGACAAAATTCAACTGATTAGGACAAAAGAGACATCAGATGATAAAATGAATGCAAATACATGTGCCTTCCTTCTTCCTCACAAAATGAGTCCTGGTTTGATAGGGATGGGAGCCACATAAATCAGGAAACACTGAGTTTCCTCATTCTCATGGTTTGATCTC